ATTGTTTTCTTGAATAATATTACATGTACAATGACTTATATATGTATTTATAAAGAGAATATTTCAAAATATAAAATATTTACAATAAATGTAAATAGTATAAATATAATTTAAATAGTTGACTATCAATTATTGCATTTACATCTTAAGACTAGTGATGAACTTTGGTACGGTCAACCTGCTGTAAGCCAGCCCTGTTGCGGTGATTAATTTGTTTCTTATTTCAACTATAGTTTGTTTTTGTTTGCTTTCATATTATGTTAGTCAAAAGTATGTTGTTATCAAGGGATGCGTCGTTTATTTTCTTTCTTGTTTTGTGCAATTAATTTCGATTCATTTTCCGTATGAGAAGACAGAAAGGGTCTTGAATATTTGGAGGGAAACCCACTTTGATTATAATTTTTTCAATTCAATAATCGATTCCACGTCTTTTTATGGGTGTAAACATAGCTGGCCTATCTCACAAAAGTACAGTGCTCACTGCCCTAATCGAACCTTTTAATAATATATATGGACGGTAAGATTACAACATATATCTAATCCAATAACAGGATTATATGAGGAATCTGTTGACTAATGAGGTCCCATCCAAGATATCAGCCCTAACAAACATATCCACTGCTTTTCCCTTCCCCTTAGAAATATTGTCCCTTTTAGGCCTTTCCTATTTCCAAGTCTTGACATAAAAAATAATACTAGTAATAATACTACATATTATAAATAGACAATTATGACTTCCATTAATGTTCCTTTTACAGCACAACAAAATCCCAAAGAATCAGATATTGGGTTAGGATTTTAAGTAGAAAATGTGTTGATGCAGTAATCCCAACCACTACATGAATCAAGATCGGCAAAACATGAATAAAGATAGTGAGAAGAAAAAGATGATGCATAGGGATACTGAACGCCAAAGGAGGCAAGAAATGGCTGCCCTCTGTGCTTCCCTTCGTTCTCTTCTCCCTCTGGAGTACATCAAGGTAAATTATTAATTTTCTTTCAGTTTTCATGAATTTTATGCATTAATTGAAAAACCCTTCCGGGTTTTACACAATTATGAAACTAGGGTTTTTTTTTATTTATTTATTTTTTTTTTTTTTTCAGGGAAAAAGGGCAGTATCTGAACATGTAGATGGGGCAGTGAATCACATAAAGGATTTACAGAAGAGGACTGAGGAACTGAGTGCGAAGAGAGATGAGCTAAAGAAGTTATCTGGTTTTGAAGAGGCACGCTCAAGAAACTCCCTTCCTACTTCAGCTGTTGTTAAGCCTTGCTTCGGTGGTTTTGAAGTTGTGATCAGTACTGGAATTGGAGTTCAGGCTTTGAGACTGTCGAGGGTGCTTAAACTTCTGCTCGAGGAAGGACTTGATGTTGTTAATTGCATTTCCACCAAAGTTGATGGAGGATTCATTCATACAATCCAATCTCAGGTATCTTCATCATGCTGGGGTTTAATTTGTTGGCTAGCTAGCTTTAGAAGTTTTTATTTTTATTTTTGTCATTTTTGACACCATATATTATATCTCTTTTTGGCTTTGCTGAATTAAATTACAGGTGATTAACGATCTAACATCTGTGGATCCATATACGTTGCAACAGAAATTAAATGAAGACGTTCCGTCATCTAGCTAGTAGGTTTTCAGAGTAACCAGTTCAGTCCTATTAGCTCCCTCACGCCATTTGATTTGATGCAGGAGTAGGATTGGCTTTTTTTTTGCTTGATGATGATTAATACAATTCCATTTGCAGGTAACCAATATCTTGATTGTTGAAAAATCTTTGTGGAATTAATGAAAATGGTCGATTGTAGATTAATGAGCAATAGGGCAAGCTTTAAGCATTTGCTTTATCACATTTTTTCTGTTAATTATCATATGTTCATGGTGATGTAGTTTAATGGGTTTCCTTACTATGCAAGGTCTTTAATGCCAGCAAGTTTATTTATTTGATTTGATCTACATTTCTGTTTATATGTACCCAAACTGAATGGTTCTATCTACACATCAAAATTTAACGTTTATCAACTTTTATCCAGGAAAAGGATAGGAAAATATACTAGCAGATTGTTCACATGGTAGTCCTAACAATTTTTCAAGAACTAGAAATACTAGCATCTTGAAATTTGGTCATCACATTTAATTGAAAATGTTATGAGGGCTAATAAAGATTCAAAGATTAGCAACCAGTTAAAATTTCATGCTTCAAGAGGATAGAAGCCAGATAATTATATTACAAAACTGTTGCTATTGAAAAAAGAGTGCGTCCTGGATGAAGTGGTGTGTTATATATATGATGCTTTGGGCCCAATATATATCTACCAAAGTGTGTTTTTGAATGGAAGCTTTTGCTTAATAGGAGGGGATTTGGCCCGAATTAATAATGAGAATATTAAGTGTATATACGTGTCTTGTGAGAGGTGGAGAGACTTTCTATCACTTGATCTTAAGATGCAAGGTAGCATGCATGCATATAGGTTTTGGATGTGAACTTCGTGATGCTGGTTGTATTTCCAATATGCGTTGGCAGTTTGAACACATAGGCCTAGTATTTTTTGTTGTGGATTAGCAGTTATGATCGAGGAGATAAACAATGTGATTTTCGACAAAGTGGAGATGATCACAAAAAAATGATTTGGTTGGAGTCCATCCAGTGGTTGCTTTTATGGCTTAGAGATAAAATTAAGCCTGATGGTTTTGCATGTTTTCTCTTTTAAGCATTGGTGGACGACCCTTGGAATTGTGTGATAGCAATTCATGAACACATTGAAGCAAGGAAAATGGTCAACAGAATGGCTTGTTGAAGACAGCATTTTGCAATCTGTTGTGCTATATCCTTGTATCCCCTATTTGTTTTTTATGTCTTCCGGTTCCAGATTAATTTCATCCCATGCCAGATTATAATCATCAATAGAATAGCTGCTTACTATTTTAATCTCCCTCATGATGATCAGTAAGCAATTCCTGCCTATTTTTCTCAAATGGATTGTAATGTGGACTTCTCTACCTGCAGCATACACTGTAATTGTGTATGCAGTAACATCAATCTGCAGGAATTACATGATTGGTCTGCTTCGTGCTTTCGCTATTGTGCTGCTGTTTGATAGATTAGTTGAGTATTTGTTATACACGGTAATTAAGATCTTGTCCGGTTTGGCCCGATGGTCAAGCAGGTATAGGGCTCGCCTGCTCTGAGGAGGATGGAGTGAAGGGTTTGAATTTGAATTCCCAGCATGAGCTGTACTTTGCTGCTACTGACCTCGAGAGTGATGTTATATCTTCCTATATTCCTACCTATAAAATAACTACTCCCCTGATTTTTTGGTTATCTGGCGGCTTGGTTGACACAAAAAAAAGTTAGTTCAGAGGCGAAGTATGGCTTTTACATGATGGTTCAAATCAAGTTTGATTTTTCCTTTTGTTTACGTGTACAGAGTTAAAACTTGATTTGAGACAAACGAAGAGGAGGGAGGGGAAAATCGTTTTTTCTAATTAAATTAAAAAATTGACTTAACAATTTAATTTTTTTGAGCAAAGAAATTCTCTTTTTTTTTTCCCTCTCCTCCCCCTCTTTCTTTTAAATTAAATAAAATAAACTCTTATATAACAACCTCAAAGTTAAATTTATTGAAAAAATATTTTATTAGATAAACAACTTGAGTTTAAATCTTGAGAATCAAAATAACAAAAAAACCATGTATTAAAAAAAATTTTCATTGAAAAATTTGTCGTAAGATGTGTGCAAGCTGTAGCACTTTACAAACTCCTAGTTCGGAGAAAAAATGCAGTTGAAATTAGAGTTCAATTCAATTATAATTACTGGTTGGAAAAAAAATGAAAATTTAAATATGGGTACTGGCTTTGGTTTAAATTACTTCATTGATTCTATTTGGATCTGATTTCGAACCAACCTATTGATTCGCGTGTTTAAAATTGGTTCACTTTGACTATCTAGTTACCAGACCCGTTTGCTTCAAGCATGTATAATGAAGAATATCATAAAAATTCATTTTAATGTAACATTATTAAAATTAATTTTTTTATATAAATTCACATTTTTATAAATTTAACTCTTGAATAGAACATTTAACAAAATACTTTTCTCTAATGCATTTTTTTAGAATAAAATTTTCTCAAAAATCACATAACTATTATTTTATTTTGGCAACATTTTACATATTTTAAATAAAAAGTTTAAATTAAAAAAAATTTTGCAAAGTCAAACGGATAGGTTGAGGTGGCATGCCACCACCTGACTTTGCGCATGGTGCATGTTAGGCAAAGTCCAACATTACAGCTAGAAAACAATGGAAAAGGACCAAAGGATGCCGTTTTGGTCCTTATTAAGCAAAAAAATATTAAAGAGAGCTGAGCTCGGTGCAGTGAGCTCAGCTCTCTCTTTTAATTTGCTTCATTGAATAGAAATGAAGCCTCTATTCTATTTTTGTAAAATAACACAAAGTGAGCATGCCCTTGTACATGCTCTTATCCCTTTCTTCTCTAGCCTCGATTGTCACATGACTTTTTCCAATGCTTAGATTCTTGCCTTGTGTATGTCTATATTGCTAGTAAAAAGTAAAAATCTCTTACAATGTGATTTCATTAGGGGGTAAATCAATCTTCAAATTTGTTGGTTTGTTTGTGGTTTTGTTGTCTGGAACGAATTTGTAAGCCCTACATAACACTAAATTCATCTCTTCAACTCAACTTACTATATTTGTCAACCCCAAGTTTGTAACCAACTAAAATTAGAAAATTGTTTCCTAGTGGGGACGGCGTAGTTTTAATGTTAGTTTATACGTGAAATCTCAAAAATATCTTTAAAAATTATCAAACCTATAGATTTATTAAGGATGTTTTTGTTTTTTCACAGTCAGAAATTTGGCATTAATATTGCACTATTGCAGTGATAATTGCTGGGACATTAGTTAATTAAAGCCCGATGCTTCGGTCCGGATGGTTTTAATATGGGCTAGTTTTTTAATTAGGCCCAAGTTATAATGGACTCATAAGTTATTGGCAAACAATTAGATTTCTTAATTATGTCTAGTCAATTTAAGAAATCTAATTGATATAAATATTAACTTTAAAAAAATTGTAAGAGGTTTAACATCATTGTACTCAATATTGGCATAGTGAAATATCTCTCTCTACCTGTTAGCTTTTCTCTTGTTACGATTTTCGACGTAAACCTTTGAGTCTTTACTCACTTTGCTTTATTTTTGTCTTAACAATAAATTCTTTTTAAAGTGAAAATAAGGTATCTCAATCGATTTCATCTATTGTGCAACTAAAAACTTTTTTGAAAAAATTAAGCATATGGAGTTAAATATTCTAACACTCATCTAAAAAAAAATTAAAGAACAGATTTTATTTTAAGTCTCTTATCTTATAATTTGGACTATACAATTGTAAAATAAAAGCCATTACACAGGGAATGGGCTCGTTGATATAAGAAGCTCTCTCCTTGTTTAATGATAAGTACTATATAATTCAAATTACAGGATCTTTTTTTATTTTTTGTTTCTTATTATCTCTATTCCCTCACTCAATCTATTATTATTTTTTCTTTACAAGAAAAATATGAGTTAAAAATTAATATATGCTTATGTCATGATTCAACCCAAAGAAATAAGTGAACACCACCTGCTACACCGTGGAGTAACGTGGCCATCTGCTTGACCACATAGGAGTTCTATTATATATGAGTTCTCCTAAATGAAGATGGTAGAGCGGAGGACTAGACTGGGTTTGAATACTTAATAAGCCATCCTTAGGTAACTGGTTCGAACCAGGCAGCTGAGAATGTACATTTTAAATGATTTTTTTGCTTACAAGGGGTGGTAATGTCTCTCTAATGTGAAGTAAAAAAAAAAAAACAAAAACAAAAAGATTCTTCCTTGGACAATAATGTCTCTTATTTGGCACGATTATTCTTACATATATATATATATTAAGGTAATACAAAAATATTATATATGTATGTTGAATTTGATTAATAAGAATAATAAATAATTGTAATTGTTAGTAAATAATTAATAAAATAATTAATATCTATCATCCTCAGTCCATTTTACTCATTATGACATGTATTTTTAGACAATATTTTGTTATAGTTAAGAATGATAGTTTGAAAATTACTTTTCCAAATACATACAATATGAAAAAAAATTCAAATAGTCTTTTATATACTATAAAAAATTATCATTTAAAAATATGTGTTATAACAAGTAAAAGGACAAGAAGTAGTATTATTTAGCAGGTTAAAATAAGGTTGTTAATTGCTATTTTAAAATACTCTAAACAGCAATAGACAAGTAAAATCAGTAATCATGAGCTTCTAACATGCAGTGTTGAATGCCAATTATTTAAATAATTTGATGGTCATCTCTTTCTATTAAAAATAAAAGATTTTGAATTTGACTTGCATGATATATGACTCGAGTAGAATAAGAGATGAGAGATGACTGCTTTTTATTGTAAAAAAAAAAAAAAACATGCAGTGTAAAATTTTGTTTACAGTTTTTCTTCTTTTATTGTTATTATAATTTCTTTAGCTCATTCAAACTAGATTATAATTTCCATTAACAAACGGAAGATCATGATTCATGCGGGAATTGTATTGCACCATGGAAATGGTCAACGAAGAAAGTGGTCCAGATTAAACGTGTTACTTGATCCGGTTTCTATGTTAACCTCAATCAATCGTTTTTTGCCTTACAAAAAGAAACATTTGATTCATTAATAATTTATCGTTGCTAATAATTAATTAATAATATAAAAAAGGGAAAAAAATATGGCTGATTATTAACTCTACTTTTCTTAAAAAAAAGTATCCTATGCAAAGCAATCCTTACTAAAAATATTTATTGAGACTTCAGAACCCCATGAAGCAAGACCGTTTGGTTTGTGGAAACCCCTCACCCGGGCATTAGCTGTTAATGTCTGTAATTGTTAATTAATAATTTATAAAATAATTAATATTTATTATTTAATAATTTAATAATTTATTTCTATACTAATATTTTTAAACATTCAAACTATTTATAAATTAATAAAATCAAAATTGAATAAATTTACAATATTTTTGTATAACCTTAACAAATATTTGTTTACTCAAAACCATGAGTTTCACCATG